ATTTCTATTGCTATGGAATAAATAAGGTTGCAATAATGATTTTTTCATTATTCTCAAATGAGTAGGGATCACCTATTTATTGCCCTTAAGAATCCACGGAATGGTGCCAAAATAGGATGAAAAATCACCAAGTTTAAAATGACAACGGCTATAAACGGACAAAAAATTGCCAAAATTATGACCTATGCGGTCGCATAGGCTAAACCGCATAGGTTTCTCAAAATCAGGACATTAAGTCCCTGTATAGGACTACGCGACCGCATAGTCCTTTGAACTATGCAGTCGCATAGTTCAAAACTTTGGCCTCCATCCCCAATTTCCATTCCAAGCTTGATTTTATTATTTTGAACAACCAATTTCAACAATCCTCCACTTTAAAATTGAATAAAATCTCATATTCAAATGTACAATACTTATGCATAAGGATTATATATCTTTCGATTTGAATCTAACTATAGTGTAATTCTAACAAAGCAAAGTCAGAATTAAAGGTAGCATGGAAGCTTTGAACCAATGATTCCATATGACGATACCAATAAGAACACACACACAAGTATTACATGTTCTCAAGTTTTCAATTTCACTTAGCGCTAATATGGCCTTGCGCTCATCCTTTTCAACAAACTTTTAAGAAGGAAACTTTTACTTTCTATTTAGGCAACACCACCTCGAAGTTTGTTTAGGTAAAGTTTTTCCAGTATCTTTGTTATTTTTAGAGATAATTGTACTTAGTACTAAACTATATTAAGAGCTTAAAGCTCAACCCTCATTTCAGTAACAACCAGCATTATATTAGCTAGTATGAGGTTATTGCGGATTTAAATAATGCTGAAACTATCCACATATNAGAAAAGGGTTATTGTGGATTACATAATGTTGAAACTTTCTATATATCGAATGACTTGTTGTTACCTTTTGAACCCGTAATGACAGGTAAGGTTGCCATCATTGGTGGATCTTTTAGTTGAAGAGTTTCAACTCCATCCTACTCGAAGTAGAATTTATTAAATCTCTATTTAGAGGTTTAGTTAGAGGATCCACCAAGTTCTCAATCGACTTTACATAATTTATGGAAAAGTATTCCACTTTGATTAATTTCCTTATATAATTGTGTCGTAGACTCATATGTCTAGACTTTCCA